TTAGTTTTACCTATATAAGGTGTATCAGATTATTATTATTTTTCAATCAATACAAATCAATATCAAGTTTAATATTTAGCAATAAGTTATATTTCTAACCATCATGAAAAAGAAATACATGACCTTTGACCATCAAAGTTACCTTTGCATGAAAACTAGGTGATTCTCCTTCCTTAACAAGGTTGAGGCCTCAATTTTTTTTCTTATTTCACCCTACAATAACAATTTCAGGCAAATCCATGCATCTACTTTTTATCGTCATTTCTTCTCTTCTTTGTATTTATTGCATTGAGCTCCACAATTTGACTCTTCATTTCACTTCCCCTTGTTTCCTTGCTTTTTTGCATCTTTGGTGCTCCATCTTTCCCAACATCCGTTCTTAATTCTTTTCCATTTTCTTCTATCTTCTTATGATCATTTTTATTCTTTCATCCTCATATACGCTTTTATTTTGTTGGTCACGATTGCAACAGGTTTTGAGAGAAAAGTATTTATAATAGAACTTTGTCATCTGGAATGTAGAGGATGGATCAAGTAGAGTTATTTTAGATATGGTTGAATGTGATGGCAGTGCCACTACCTAGCTTTGGTTTCTTTGTAAGTGCTAATGTTCATCGGTTTACACCTAGATTTGATTACAAGCGGAGGAGCAAAGGGTGTCATTAGTTTTGGTCTCTTTACCCATGTTCCTGTGAAGGCATATTTGATTCCATGTACATCCTCTTCGTTTTTATACCCAACACAACTTGTTTGGAATTAAAATTATACACAACATTACATAGTAATAGAGACTATCATGCAACTAATATTAGGGAAGAACCCTGACCTCATACAAAGACTAATGTATATGGACAAGTGTCCTAGCATGTTTTGAATCCTAGACACTACCTAGACTTGATGCCTGGGGATATTGGGGCATAGAGGTCCATTCAGAGTAAGGTATGCATGCAGTGATGTCTAACCATGGTTATTTCTAAAGAAAATTTCGGGTTATAAAGATTATATGGAACTTCAAGGTAAAGTGCTAATTCGTATATTTTTGGAAGCAATACATATAAAACAGAGCCTACTCCACTAGCACCAAGCCACTAACTACTCTGCACCTAGAAATCATACCTGGCAAGTAACTAGGCCTAACACACAACATCATCCAAACAAACATGATACATCCAGTGCATCACTTGGCTCTTGCAAGCAGCTAACCTTGCTACACAACTAAATTTCTAAATCGGATGAAAACAGAAAAAAATTCTAGTAAAATGACCGCCCGTAACCCAACAGATAAATGAAAGATGGTATTAATTGCATGCTAACATGGCCTCACATGTGATCATGCTTATCAAAGAAACCCAAACTGCATCTCACAAAGCACAGTTAAGTCCACATTTCATGGTCTACCCTATAGCTGTTAAAAGAGTGCCTGAGGCTCATAAGGCTCAAGGACTTGGGCTTTTATAAAGTTGAGGCTAGGCGTATTAACGAGGCTCACTAAGGCGTTTCGCTTTGGTTTAGGCATCTTGTGGGCCTAGCGTCTTGTGGGCCTAGGCATGCCTCATAAAGAGTTATTAGTTTTCTAGTAAAACCCTAATATTAAATTAGTTTTCTCATCTTCTCATCTCCTATACTTCTTTAAAAAAGAGTTATTAAATAGATGACACAAGTCACCCTAATATTAAATACTCATTCCTTAGAACTTCAAGCCTCCTTTATAAATAACCAGACCTTAAAACTTCTCCCTCACGGCTCACGTTTTAAACCCTTCTTCCTTCTGCCTCTATTGAAGTACAGCTATTTGCTGCATTGGAGGCTTGTACTTGATGCATATTTGAGTTGTGTGTATGTGTGTGTGTATATATATATATATATATATATTGATAAGATTCGTCTCGTATTCCTGAGGCCTACACCTCACGTCTGCACCTCGGGCCTAGGACCCAAGACCCCTTTACCCCTAACTGTGCCTTGAGCCTTTAGCAACTTTGGTCTACCCTACATCCTATGGAAGCACTTTCCAAGGACTTTCCACAAAATTCCTGCAACGTACTTCGACCAGGGGTTTTGAGAAGATCAGTGGATATGAGCCCGCTCGGGTGATTAGAAAAAAAAAATGCAACCACTTCCACACACAGTCAAGAACAAACCAACCTTCACCCTCAAGTGAACAAACAAGCTTACAAAAGGCCTTCCACATAGCTAGTTGACGAATCACTACTGCAAAAGCTTCCTTGTGGTTGTCTAGAACTCTGCCCTTTCTAGTTGCTAAAGTCGAACCTTCAGTGGTTAGTTGGGTATTTGTAGATCCCAACATCACCTCCGAGAAGTCTTCTCTTACACTCGGTAATGGCTTACAACTCAATATTCTTCCCCGAACCTCATCGAGGTTTTGGTTTAACCCAAGCAAGAACTTGTATATATGTTCTTTTGTGCATATCTTTGTATTTTTTTTGGTGACCGGCACATCTCCACAATAGATCATCCAAGTATTACAGAGAAGCATTTACATTTATAGCTACAACACTTAAACTAATGTCCTTTATTCTAGGAGATAGAAAACAACTTTATCCTACTAACAAACTCTCAAAGAATAAGGGGGCATTTACCAAATGCTTATCGTGGTAAGCTCTTACCAAGTCACATTACCTATTGAATGAATATGGCAAGGACCAAGAATATTACCCGGTAAGAGCGAAAGCAAGGACCGAGAGTCTTACCCAGTAAAGGGGGGTGGCTACTCTTACCATGGTTAGCGCTTACCAGGTAAATTGTTGCATACGATACCATTTTGGTGAACTAGAATCTTACCCGGTAAGTGATAGTGTTGAATTTTACCGGTAAGCGCTTACCCGAGTAAGTGTTTGGTAAACGGCCCCTATAAGCTTATCTTGTGAGATAATGAAACAGATTGTCTGCACATACTTTGGATGCAATTGCTACTCACTACATGCAAAAAGAACACGAGCAAAACAAAAGAGACATGTATTGGCTTTTCCATATAGTTTCAGCTGCAATTGTTGTGTAAGATAGTTTTATAGATATATAACTACATTAATCTCTACAAAAGATACTACAAAGTGAAGAAATGATAAACTAGTTATGACATCCATCTACAATATATTTTTGGAGAGTACTAGATTTGAATTCAACAAGGCTATATGCATTTCCACTTTTTGGGGTGATGGGAGTACTAAAATACTAATTTAACATGTATGGACATGGAAACATACTTTAAAACACTACAAACTTTATTACATTATTAGTATACAAACCTTTTCACATGAGTTGCTTAAAATATGACCACCATTGATTTTTAGATCTATTAAAAGAGTAAATTTACTATATTGCCCATAAACAAACATTTCTCATGTTTTAGGACTTTAGTACAAAAAAAGTTATGTTGCCCATGTAATAGAAAATGGACCCTCTAACTAAACATATCCTTGACTTATCCTATAACTTGTAATAGTGACAAGTGTCTAGTTATTTTAGTGTAAATGTATTATGTATCTATAGCCTTGCTTCATTGAAGATGTGAAGTTCATGACTCCATTTGGAAGTTTTTGAATCCTATAAATCTGCATGAGAAATAAGACGGTAATATATAGAAAGGCAGAAGCTACCTTTACTTCCTCGAAAGCTATCATACTCGGGACACGACGATGCTCCCTCCGTCGTGGCGGTTCCTGAACCTCTATGTCATCCATGCTTACCCCAGAATCTGCTCTCAACACAACCCTCACCCGTTCCAAATCACCACCATCTTCAGGTCTACATGCATAACTTTCACAATCTCTACCTTGACAACAATGAGTGTCAAAATCAGGATTGTGTACCTGGAGGTTCATTGCATGACAGGGCAACACATCCTCCATTGAAAGGCTCACATGAACATACTTTGCTTTTGACTCCCACAATTGACTGATTGCTTCATCAATTGCTTGAGAAGTAGATCTTGACATCCTATCATAACCAGAAAGATTAAAATCCTGTCTATTTGGCAAGGGATATGCCCATGGAGGAGGTTTTGCCAAATATGTATCTCCATTAGCTAATGGGATTCCACCCTTGGAAAATTTTTGAGAACCAAAGCCGTCCTTCATGTTGCTGACAAAGAAGAATAAAAAAACATAAGGTTTTACAAACAAAACCAACAATAACCATCACATGGGGGAAGAGAAAAGAGAAAGATCAGCCATGTCAAGCTAGAAGTTAACATATTTACCTTGAGGTTTCACTTTTCAATACTTCTATACAAATTAAGTAAGGTGCCTTTTCCCTAGAATTAAGAAGAATGGCTTCATCTTCTGGTATGTGAACCACGCGGTACATTCCCCTCCCCATAGGAAAGCACACGCCTACCATGCAACCAAAAATTGTAAAATGAGATGGGTGAACTTGAATCTTGTCATAAATTACTTCAGCTGAAACAATGATAAAGAACCACGTATATTAAGCATACTAATCAGAAGCTTTGAGAAAACTGGTGTTTTCTGAATTATATGAAGCCAGTAAGAAAACAGTGGAGTTAACAATCAGATTATCTATTTTCTACATAATTGATGCAGCCTCAAAAAGAAATACAAACATGTTTTTACAAAGATGTGCCAAAGATTGAAGCATAGTACATCTACTTTTATGCTAAAATATATCAAATTGCAGCAAAATGTTCCTTCCAGATAAGGGGTGCATTTTAGTTCAAGAGATCCTTTAGATCAAGGATAGAAAACCCCAAACCACTTCAACAAATTTCACATTGCAATATTTTCACTCATTTAACGGTTTTACGATTATGAGGCAAAGACTGCTAAGCCCACAATTTGAAGCACAACGATGGAAACTACAATAAAATTACCACTTCCATAGTTTTGACAGTCGTTGCATGGCATGCAAAGACAAATGGATGGTTAATTTTGAATTGAGTACTACAATATATCAATATGGTAACTTATACCAAGTATTTAGAATATACTTTTTATAATCACATGATAACCACATGGAGAAGGGCAAATGCGTCATGTGTTGTCAGCTTGAATTGACATATTTCGACTGCTTATGTAGATTGCACTATGATAATTATGTTGTCATGCACATCTCCTAGAATCAGATCTCCTATGAGCAGACGTAACACATTGAGGTTGATTCCCATTAGCAGATACTTCTCATGAACTAGATTTTTTAAGCTAAATTGAGTTCACTTCATATGCCGACATTTTGACAAACCCATTACCAGGACCATAGATTAAGCCTTATATGGGAGAAGTCAAGCACGATTGGTATATTTCCACCAACTTGAGTAGGAGTATTAGAATAGGGCAAATATGTCGTATTTTAATTCTCATATTCCTAGGTTTCTTTATAAGGTTTTATTTATGTCAGTCCATGGCCCACCAATGTACTCTATGCATTGATCCCGTTCATAAATTGATAAGGTAAACAAGTATATAATGTTCTATTTATGATATGGAAAGCAAGGATTGGAACCACTCTTTACAAACCTACAAATATCTTAATTGGATAGAAAAGATGCATACTTACATGCATGTGATCATTCCTTATTCATTGAATCTGTTTCCCGGTTATATGCGCAAGTATATGTATATATGTATCCATATACATACATATATATATATGTCCTTTTTAGGAAATCCTTTTCAGAGATTGATTCACATATGCAAATGTGTGAGCACATTAGTGATTGTTGATGTAAATGGGGAAAGAGAGAGACCTCCACTACTCTGAGCTGCAACAACATGCTCATTGATCTCAGTGAGAGACTACAAAAGACGAGCAAAATTTAGTGCATGAAAAACAATGATTTGCATCAGTATTAAAAAAAAGGTTAAACCTGGTTGAGAAGGGAAAATAAGAAGCAAGCACAACCTCATAAAGAGCTCTTTTGCGATCTTCAACTGGAAAAACATCTACCAAACCATATGATGTCTCACACAAGGACAGAACAAAGTCAAAGGACTCATGATATGTCCCTTTACGAAATTGTGAAGCGGTCATGGTTGGCAAAGGTGGCTTAAGATTGGATTTATCATTCCTTTGCTTTAGCGAACCAGGGTGCCTCTGCCAAAAGAAACATTATTATAACTTTACTATAGAGCAAAGCAACTTCTATAAACATCTTCTAAGAAAACAGCAGAGCATATATGCAAATATGATGAAATTATATTCATAGTTCCATTTTTGTGAACATTTGAAAGACTTTGATCAATAAGAAGATTAAGTTGGAAAGTGTTCCAAATAAAAAAAGTCCCTTTCTAGAGTACTAGAAATGTTGCCTAACATTAGAGCAAACAATTATTTAGTTTCCTAAAACTAAAAAGATGTTGTAAGTTAAAGACCTTCAAGTTTTTTAGAATTGTTTCCTTTTAAAGATCTTGTAAATATGTATTGATAGGCCTGTAAATCCATGTATTATTCAATGAAGAAATTCTGATTCTCTCTCCAAACAACATGGTATCAGAGCCCCAGGGTTTTCTTCTTCATGTTGAGGCTGTTCTCTTGAATTTCAGAATGAAGCCTCTTTTATTTTTCTGGTCTATCTCAAAACAAATGAACCTAGTATATCCCACTAGAAAGTACGGTCTAGGAGGGGTAGAATGTATGTAGACCTTAACTCAACCACTAGAATTGAGAGGTTGTTTCTGTGAAGATCCCCGACTTGTGCATAAAGCAAAGGGAGTGACCAACAAATATAACATTCAGAAAAACGATTCAATTGTGTGTGTACGATTCAAAGGTATGAACCAAGAAAGTCAGGTCATGTCAAATCTGCCCAGCTCTCTAATATCCACTCAATACCGTGGTCGACACCCTCAACCAGATCCTACCAAAAATCAACCACTCTAGTCATATGCCTCACGAACTCCTATGACGTCATGTCTTCGAAGTTGCCATGTCCATCCTCAACCGGTCAATTTCACCTTCTCTCTCTTTGGACTTCCTATTCAGAAACCCAGGTCCAAGCCTTCCTTCCTGCTTTACCATATCAACTGTGTCTGAAACAAATAGTACACCAACGTTATGCTTTTGTCCCAGCCTGTTAGGAGGTGGCTTCTTAACCAGCAATGCAAATCACTATTATTTGCTTAAATGGCCACAATTTTTTAAAAGGGGATCAATCTATTAAATTGACTTTGAACGCCAGAAGCAAACTTGGGTTTTTAACTGGTAAAGAGCCAATACCAGCGGTAATCAAGTCTAATTCCATGTCTCAATGCTGATCACAGCATGGATGCTGAATTCGATGGAAAGAGGCTAAGGAAATTTGGGAGGTTTTCATATTCGAGGTATTATGGTAGTCAGATAGTCATTAGTCAATATAGTAGGTTGTGGTACTTTCTGTTGGATAGCTAGTATAAACAAGTAGGTTATTTATATTGGATAGCTAGTATCCACTAGCATAAGTGGTTATTATAGAGGTTTGTAATAAGTGGGTTATTTTACTTTTTGTTGGATCATTAATATAAATAAGGGATGTTAAACACAAAGGGGCATTGATCAATTTTGTGAATTGTTCTGGGCGATAGCCTTCGAAGATCCAGAACCTCTGTAAATAAACATTCAATTGGCGTCAAATACCATTCTATTTTACTCTAGTTGGTATGGTGTACATCAATTGATATCTGAGCAGGAACAAACCTAGGATGACAAAAACCGTGCCTTGTGAGTAGAGGAATTGGAGGCTAGCATCATCTTTCTTCATAGAATTAGGATATGCAAACGGTTAGGAAGCAATTGGAGTGGCTAATCAAGAATGATACAGGGGCAACACAAAATTCATGCGTTCCAAGGGTGGTTAATATTTAAAAGGTAGTTGAGGATTAACAGCCACCTAAAGGTTTATTTAGGATAAGGTTGACACACCACACTTAAGGCCTCACCTCTTATGATAAGTGGAAACGAAATTGAGCACACTCAAATTCAGAAATTCTTATTCAAAATAAAAGTGCCTTACAAACGAGCTTCAAAGAGTTCAAAGGATGCTAGAAACTTAGGAAACTAAATAGAACCAACTTACTCAGCAAACTTGAATAAAATGCTAAGTTTATGGGATAAGGAGATAAAATCAAAAGATCATAATCAACTTAGGAAACTAAATAACCTAACTTATTAAAAAAATTCAATAAAATCTAATCTTCTTGAAAAGATAATAAAATTCCAATTCCTCTTGATCATTCAATTTAAAGTTTCTTTATTGAAGATAACGGTCTTGACTTATGTTGCAAGTCTTGTACCGGATTGCCACACACGGTTGCACAAAAGTCCAACTCTTCCTCTCCTGCAAGCGCATTGATCCCCCATAGTTGGGAAAAAATACTTGTCCTCGGGTCTTCTCCATGATAAAGGTCGTAGATTTTGACATTGAAAGTTGGCAATGTTTCATATTCCTCCGGTAACTCAACTTTAGAAGCATTCTCGCCAATTCTTTTTGGTATTTTGAAAGGTTTGTCTACCCTTGGTTTCAGTTTCCCAAACATGGTTTTCACAAGCATTCCTTGAGGCGAGGCATCCAAAAAAAGTATCAAAGGCGGCACCTCTAAAGGGTTGCTAAGGCATACACTTTGGCTGTTAGAGGTGTAGGCAAAAGCGGTGAGGGGGTGGGCGGTATTGAGGCGGTAGTTACATGTTCATGGTTGAAGCTACATGTTAAAAGTTTTGGTAGATATGATTTTTTTTCTCCAACAGATAATTTCAGCATATGCATAAACACGGAGAATGTGAGTTACTTCGTTCTTGTAAGAACATTTGTTACGGAGTTGTTAACTGGGTATATGATCCGGTTGAGTTTAGGTTCGTGATAGGGTGAAACAAATGAGGATAAACGGTTAATTCATGCGTTCCAAGTGGTGCCTGATTGGTTTGAGCTTGGCTCCAAAGGTCAAAAGTACCACGAGGTCCCAGGTTCAAATCCAAGGAGGAATAAAAATCCCCTTGTGGCCACGGAGGTTCAAATGCGGTGACTCCGGGCTATCTGCAAAGCAGGTGGTCGCCCTGGGATTAGTCGGCTCGCATAGCGGGTTGGATATCCAGGTCAATCAAAAAAAATGAGGATAAACGGTTAAATCATTCTAGGTTACTCAGGTCTTGAACCTGTGGTAGGGGGATGTTGAATCTGTCCAGAACCTCTTGCGAGAGGCTTCGAGACTACTTAACAGTCGCCTTATACATGGCTGCCGCTTTGACGCATACATGACAGCATGACAATTTTACTAAAAACTTGAAAATCTAGCATAAGCATGGCATAGAAGTCATGTAATGTGGGTATTAGCTTTTATGTTCTAGTTCATATTCTTGATGTTGCAAATGTGGGTTCCCTCTTTTGTACCAAAGTTTTCAGTGTAATGAAGTTATGTTTTATCATTTCCGCAAGTTTTTACTATGTTTTGATTTATAACATACGATGATTATAAAAAAAGGCCATAACACACATCCGGATCTTGTATATGAGCCACAGAATGGAGTGTTACAAATAACAAGACTTGCTGTTAAGATATACATTGTTTAGACCATGCAATGATTTCCTCAAACTAGTAAACCACGACGTTTTCAGCTACAAAAAGCATGGACAAATTGATTGACAAGCTACGTTAGATTCTTGCACAGTGCTGATGGATATTTGAAAGAGTTGGTCTAAAAAAATTACTATATGTGTGTGCATGCATTGCCAGCTGTATTAGCCAAGAATTGGTTGCAAGTAGCTATATCAAGTAATTACTAAAATGTGCAAGAAGATGGCGGCATAACTTTCTGGATAGAGCTACAATACTTTAAAAAACAGAGATTTTGAATTATGCATTTACCTCCTTGTTCTTTGACCCAAAAAGCTCAGAATCTTCCACTGATCGATCATGGTGTCTGAACAACTTGAGGAAGAACTTTTCTGTTCCTGGACTGCTTTCAAGCCCACTGCCATTGTTGCTTCCAGTTGCAGCCACAGTATTGGCGTCATCAGGATGCAAACGAAATAATTTGTGAAACAAGGGAACGTCAGAAGGCGCATCTTCCACACCGTTTGCATCCCCCTTGTATTCTTCATCATCATCATCTGCAGCAGGAGCACCTTTCTTGTCTTCAAATTTCTCTTTAAAAGTTTTGATAAAGAACCCTTCTTTCTCATCATTTTCAGCAGACTTTGGCCCTCTCTCCTCATCATCATTTTTATCCCTAAAAAACTTCCATAAGAACCCTTCTCTATCATCACCTTCTACAGATTCCAAATCACCTTTGGTGAATATCCGTTTAAAAATTTTCTCCGAGCTTGATGTGAGCTCATTCTCATCCTTACTATCTTTTAAAAGCCTGCGGAAAGACCCATCCTTCTCCATGTCTTCATCATCTCTCTCCACATACTTCCCTACCTCCTCATCTTCAGAATCTCTTAGAAGTCTCTTAAAGAAGTCATCTTTTTCTGATTCCTCATAATCTTTGGAATCTTGTAGCTCATCCTTCTCCTTGTCTTCATCGTATCTCTCCATAGACTTCCCAACATCCTCATCCTTAGAATCTCTTAAAAGTCTCTTACAGAAACCATCTTTTTCTGATTCCTCGTTATCTTTAGAATCTTGTAGGAGTCTCATAAAGAAACCATCCTTGTCAGATTCCTCATCATCTTTATCTACAGATTTCCTGAAAAGCAAAGCGTCCCGGACTTTTGGGCCAAGAATAAATTTCTTGAACATATTATTCTCATCTGCGGATACCTTACTGGTACCTTCATCCTGGAATGGGTTCTCCAAAGGATGCGAGAATGAGAAAGACTTCTGAGGCTGAGGAGAAGATGTTAATGATAGTAACCGTTGTTTTGAGGACAGCCACCTATTAAGTACTTGGTTCTTTCCCACATTGCTCGTAGACTCATTTTGTGGTCTAATCAGAGGCACCCACTCTCCCATCGAAGTAGCAGCAATCTGACATTTTTCTTGGATTCTGCTGATCCCCTCATTATCATCAGAATCCTCAAGCTCCGTCATAAGGAACCATTGCACTTTCAGTGCTATCTTAAGTGATTTTGAGCATATATCAATAACAAATTTATCAAGTGACGGGCTAGGCTTGTGAACAAGCATGTAACATATCTGGAACAAGTAGCTTTCAACCCCAGATAATGGGAGAGTGTACATCCGATTGCAAAGGTAATCCCTAACCCCTGGGTGATCATGCTTGTATAGATAACTAACCGCAATCCACTCACAAAAGAAAGCAGAATCCAAAAATCGGATCAACCATCCATTCTCCCCGCCACTATCACTTAATAAATTGTTCCCCGTGATCTCCCTCGGAGACTCTTCCTCTCCCCGAGTCAATCCCAAAATTCTCACCACCATTATCAAATGAATCTACCATGCTCCTAAACCTACTCCGAAAAATCGCATCCGATCCTAAACCCTAAAAAAACATCAATCAATGTCACACACACGCGCAAAATGAAAGGAAACCCCTTACAAACTCAGTTGTGCGCCAATCAATACTACATATGCAGCAGAATTTTGCTCCCTATAGCCCAAGATCAGAGATTTTGAGATGGCATAAAAACAAACAACGAAAAAAAACCAAGGAAATCAGAGGGATCCAATGAACAGTCTTACGAGAGGAGTTAACTGTATATAAATGAGTTTATCGTCTGCTATGTTGCAATGCAAGTCACCATTTTCTCCGTCGTTGTGGCCGTTGCTCCGGCCAACGGAAAACGGCAAAAATGATTTTATAATTATTTCAAAAACACCATTCTCCCTCATTATAATTATTTCAAAAACACCACCGGCAAATTTTTGTTTTCATTACTATTTTTGGTAACTTAGTTTCTCAACATTTTTTTTTTGTTATTTGAGATTAAAACTTTCAAACGGTTAAGTAATCAAGGGATCAGTTGATATGGTGAATGTATCCTCGAATGACGCGCCATCCATGTTTATTATATTATTTATATTATCTTATAAATCAGATTTATTAAAAAATTTAAAAACAATTTTTAATATACAAAGTACTATGCATTTATACACAAAGTATTAAAAGTATTAAAAACTTCCCATAATGCATTTAAGTACTACTATTTTATGCATTCAGTCTTAAAATCTCTTAATCTACAATTAAAATAATATATAGTACAAGTTACCAATGAACATTATTACATTTTTCTTTCATGTTTCCAAAATACTTTTGACATATTTAACTCATGTCTTCACCGTCTCATACCTCTATGTCTTCTCTCCATCCCCCAAGGTGAGATTCAAATTGATATTCACCATGAGTTATTAAAAGTTCTATGATTCATCTATCATTCAATTGCTTTAGAACTTTCGGTTTTGCTCTCGATCTCTTGATTCTTTGCTCTTGGTGTAATCGAACACATTTGTGGAGTCGTTTAAATATGTTGGATTTTAAATATATTGGATTTAAAATTGTTATACAATTTTTTCATCGATAAACTGTAATTGGAACCATAACTCTTATTTATTCAAATTGTATTAATATGTAAAGATCAAGTGTAATTTATATCATCGTTAAATCTTTTCTAACAAAACCAATGAAACTTCAAAATCGTTAAAATTCACGGCTCCCGCCGCATTGTACGGGTACACAACTAGTATTTTTTTAGCCATTAACAGGTTTCTATGTTGATATGACGAATGACGTGACACTCAAGTCGATATTATTTGTTGATATGATAAATGATATGAATTTTTATTACATTTCTATGTTTTTTCATGTTAAAAGATAAAAAATTAATATAATAACTTTTTTGTATTATTATTATTTTTTAAGTTATGGTGTGAATGTGATCCCTGTTTTTGAGATTTTCATCCCAACACAATATCTTCCAAATTGTTTCTCCTCTGCCAACGAAGCCCTAAATCAGTGAAACACTTCACTCTCCGTCGATGAACCCTCCATCGGTGAAAGCTCACACCCCATACCGCCTCTAATAAACCCTTTCTCCTATCTGCTCCAACAAAACCCCAAATCTGGATTTTGATCGTGCATAGAGATGCCATAAGAGATGATGTTCTAAAACCATGTGTTTTTTTTATTGTGTACACTTATCTGTTGAGGGTAAAATTGTCATTTGGTTGATCAAAAAGTGTAATAACTACAAATTTCTAAGACTATATGTCTTTTTGTTATGTACATTTATTTTGGGGGCGTCAGGAGTGAATATCTGCAACTCCATCTAAAAGCTTGTTTTCCTGCATCAGCTGTGTATTTGGCCAGAGATGATCTGTGTACGATCCGGAGTCAACCTCTCCGAACCTGCATGAGACTCGGCCTCATACAGATCTGCTTCCTTGCCACCATTTTCACCTAGATTTGTGTCCTCACCATCATTCTCACATAATATGAGAAACCTTTTCAGAATAACACCTTAATTGTCGTCATTTTCACCCAGATCTCATCATGTTTTGTTGGATGCTTTTTATTTAGGTTTTATGTATGCTTTTTTGTTAGTCCACAAAATGATCAAATTTCAATCTTCAACATATAATCAATGGCAAGCATCATAAAATCATGAAGAACACTTGAGAAGAGTTGAGAGAAAAAGTCAATCTGGTCAAAGTCTATAAATCTCACAATATACGTAATGTTTACAATTAAGCTCTCCTCTACTCTAATTCACTACAAGACAAAGCTTTATATATGGTCAAACATTGAACCCTTCTAGTCAAAGTCAACATGACTTACAAAGTCAAACACGCTAACAATACAATTATAGACTTTCAAGACGAATACAATTTAACACTAAAATTCAATCCCAACATTCTTCCCTTTTGTATTCAGGGTTGAAAGAATTTGCACACTTTGAATCTCGTTTGAACTTTGTAGCTTTAAACTCTTTATGACTTCTTGAAATCTTCAAAACAGTCTTCTAACAATCTTCACTTTAAGATCTTCAGACGATCTTTTGTTGAGAAAATCTTCCAAAATTCTCCTCTTCGAATGTAGAACAAAACGATCTTCTCTTTTTACAATAAAGAACAATATCAGCAATGATCTTCAGAAATAATCTTCAAGATATGATCTTCAAAGAATTTCTTCAGACAAACAAATTACTAATATTCTCCCCATAAACGAATTTCTTCAGATAAAAAATTTACAAACATTCTCTCCCAAAATTAAACATTCTCTTCGTTGAGAAATCGCTATCAGTAAACTTTTGTAAAGATGAGATCTTCACATTTTGTTCCTCTCTCAAACAATGTAGCTCAAGAATAATCTTCAATCACACTCCTTTAAGTCTTTTGTCGGTTCTCAATCTTTATATCATACTCCCCTTTGATCTTTATAACATACTCTCCTTATATCATTCAGAATCAATTATTTCATTCATTATTTCATACTCCTCCTTATGATGAAATGAGAATCATTAGCATCATACATCAGAATGAATGAAATTTACAGCTAAAGTTGTCAATTCATAAAATTGTAAGTAGACTTTTCAAATCCACTTGTATAATCCTTTCAGATTAAAAGGATGAGAAAGTAATAACCAATTTCAACTTATGAAATTGTTTTCAATCTAATAAAAGATTGGCCTGTGAATATAACAGATATATTCAGTACAATGGATGTACTTCATATATGAGACTTTTTGAGGTTCATCTCACCAAGTCTTCCATTCAATCATCGATATCTTATAAAAGTATATCTATGAATGTTTCGGCAAAATAACATATAATTTGCAAAATCTGTGTAATGTAGAAAGATAAAGCAACATATGCTTCTGTTTAGGCTCAAAAAGATAAACCGTGTGGACTACACAAATTCATCTGACTCAATTCGTGATCAAAAAGACTTGAAGGGGGACATATATCCTTATGTTTCAATATCAAGAATCTCCAAATGAGAAACTAATAGATTGTGAGTTGCATGCCCCAAATGTTATTGAAACACTTATATGTTAAGAGATAAATGAGTAGCTGGTGGGGTTGTGACAAGAATTGGCTTGGGCTTTGCCTTTTTCAATATCAGTCTCGAAAGAACTGAGAACTAATAGATTACGTGGTATACCTGGAATTTAGAGGTTTAGAACAGTATTATGTTTATTCTTTTAATCCTGACACAACTCTCGTCAATTCTTTTGACTCACAACAACTACCCCTCTCATTTTCATTTTACGATCTGCACACAAACCCTTTTTGAGTTTAAGCTCACTCAGATATGGTTGTCCTCATGGGTAGGTTTGTCGGTTTTAACATTCCATTGAGGTATTTATATGAAGCACTCAGTCCCTCCTAAAATAAAGTATGCTCATATGATCACAAACAGTTGATCAAAATATTATTGCTATAAAGCACAATGATCAGATAAAATTGATCAAGATATGTAGCTTTTAAGCACAATCAAAGAAGGAGTGATGTATCAACAACATATTATTCAGTATATGAGAGAAATGAATGAAGATCTGTAAGTACGAGTTTACAGATTCTGATATTCAAAGAATAACAGACGTGTATTAATCAAAGTAAAAAAATATCAGAAAAACAACCATGATTATAAACGAGTGTATTATCACCGAAAATGATTATTATTTAAGAGACGTGATAATAACGGTTTGAAGAATAGTTGAAACAGGTATTGGAGTTACGTACGATGAGAAATTACGCAAGTAAAATATTAGAAAATACCTGTTTAGAAAATGTACTCGTTTCATAAAACAGTTCACTTTCCAAAAACTTTTATTGAAAATTTCTAGAGACTCCCCCTAGAAAATAGATTTGAGTAATATTTCAGTTCAGCTCAAAATAATAATAAAAAAATTAAACCATTTTGGCTCGGGTCTTGAACTGTGTTGTTCAGAAGTCATAAGCACGGGTTCTAAACTGAGTGTTTAGAAACCTATATTGGACAGATTACAAACTCCCCCTGAATTTGTGCATCATAGGCAAAATTTTCTGATCAGCGCAGTAATGACACACCTGCAACAATAGATCAAACAGATTTTGGTACCCAAACGAACTTAGGTCCTTCTTTGTTAGTATCAGGTTGTGGGATATTGTAACTGCCAAACCATCTATTCATATTAGATGTTTTTTTTAGCACTTTTAACATGTTGATCATATATGCAATAGGATCCATACCAGTTATTATTATCATACCTGTTATGATTCTTCCAGCTCTTCTGATATCTATTGTCTCCATACCAACTGTTGTACCATTTCCTATTGACAAAATCAGTGGTTTTGCATGTGGAGCACATGATCCTTTTCTTGCTAAGATTTATCAGATCATTAGTTGATCTCACAACACAAGGAAGAATGGAATTAGTAACAACAAAGTTACGAGACCAAACAGATTCAGCTTTATTAACCCAAATATTTTTAATTTTTGAATGATAATGGGGTGATCCAATTACATACCTTTG